GTTTCAGGTTGGGCGCTCGAATTCCAGAGTCAGGAAAAATGGTAAGCCTTTTGTGAGCAGCCATTTATATCGTTTCTGTTTGGGGAATTGGCTATGGATCAATTTAGCCATGTGGGCTAAAATTCTCTATGTGCATCTAAAGTTGTCTGGTGTTTGTGGATTTGACTATGGATCAATTAAGCCATCTGGGTTTGTAATTGAATTCTCTTTGTGCGTCTGTAATTGTCTGGTGTTTGGGGGAATTTGGCTATGGACCAGTTAACCAGTTAACCCATGTGGCTTATAATTAAATTCTCTGTGTGCATCTGTAATGGTCTGTTTCAGGTCAAGTTTTGATTTTTTTATTGGGTTGGAGATGCTAAGCTGTATGAATGGTTATTAACCTAGTTTTTCTGCAGTTCAATTTTTAGAATTTGATTTTGCGTTGTTTAATTGTTTAGCCATAAGTTCAGGAAGAGTGTGTGTGTGTGTGTGTGTGTGTGTGTGCGTGTTTGCGTGAGCGCGTTTCCGTGCACATTTTCCTTCCTCTCAAGTCCAACCTACTCTCAATCACACTTGTCCAAGCTGTTTACAATTTTCTTCAATTGGATACCACTTGGTTATTACAGCTATCTATGTTAATCCTTTTTAGAGCGTAGGTTTTGAGATTCTTGTGATAATTGAGAAATTGATCTGCATGTTAATTGGCAAAATCATGTCCATAACTTAGAACTCTTGTGAGTCTCTTTATATGTTTTCATCTTTCCTTTACTTTCCTTTCCCTTTCGTTTTCCCTTTTTTTTTTGGGTATGCCGAAAAGATTTTATTGACGCCCCAAATTGGGAAGACGTTACCTAAAATTTGTTTGGGAAGGAACTGTAATTTTTTATGGAGTTACCAAGAGAGGAATAGTTCGAACCTCTCACAATGATTACATCAAGATATTATTCTATCTTTATCCACCTTTATTACCACTCAAGCCATTTCAGTGATCCAATCTTTATGGTATAGTAAAATTTAAAAACCAGTAGAAGTAAAATGTTCCTTTTAAGAAAGAACATCTCTTACTTCTTTTACGTGTAACTATTTTGTAAACAAATATATTAAAAGAGGTGTACAACTTGATTTCTTTGATTCCCACAGTTGACCGCATAATCTGATGCAGGGTAAAAATGGTGAGGGCAATCAAGATGCTGAGGAATTTGAATCTATAAAACCAAATTTATCGGGTGGTGATGTCTCAAATGATGACATTATCGAATCTGATATTGAGTTGGATAATTCTGATGTTGTTGAGCCTGACAATGATTCTCCCCAAAAGGTGGGTGGTGGCCGATTTTTATTTTTTGTTCTTTTAATAAAATTACATTCTCGTTTTTGCCTCTTTTATGCTTTTATTGACCTTTTATTGCAGATGGGTGACCCTTCACTTGAAGTGACTGAAGATAATCAAGAAGCTGCTCAGTTACTGAAAGCAAAAGCTATTAATGCAATGACTGATGGTACCTACCTTCTGTAAATTCTTGTGACTTGTATACATTAATGCCCGGTAGGATTAGTGAAAAAAAATATGTACCGCTGACATTTGATTTTAGGCTTATTACTAGAAGGACAAAAAAAATGAAGAAGAAAAACCATTGATCTTTCAAAATGTCCAGTGTTCTCTCTTACAATCTTGGAGATAAATGGAGCTATTCTTAATTAAACCAGATCTAAGAGGAAGCTTTGTGGTTATCACATATTTTGTTTATTAAAAAGAGAGAGAGAGAGAGAGAGAGAGAGAGAGAGAGAGAGAGAGAGAGAGAGAAGTTACACCTTCCAATGTATGGATTTCAGGTAAGTTTGCTGAAGCCGTAGATCATCTTACAGAAGCAGTATTGTTGAATCCAAAGTCGGCGATATTATATGCAAATAGAGGTAGTTATCAAACATCAGAACCATTCTTTCAGATAACTATTATTACCTTTAATTCATTAGACACGCTTGTATTGGTCTAAAATGTTTTTAATGCAGCTAATGCCTTTGTCAAACTAAACAAACCAAATGCTGCAATCCGAGATGCTGATGCAGCTTTGCAGGTATATGTGAATTTTCTATTAAGACAGCGGGTTTGAAGGAGCTCATTCACGCTTAGTTACGAAAACTGCATTTGGCCAAATTAGAAAAGAACCTAGCTTAACTTTTCAAATTACAGAACCACCATTGAAATTACAACTATTTTGATTTCCCAGCTGTCCTGTCTAGTGGAGTTAATGGAAATTTTTGGTGTCATATTTTAAAAACTATATCACTTAATTCTACTTGATAATGCAAATAACTCCTTTGTTTATACAATTTTGGCGAATTATGAAAATGGGCAGCATAAACTTGGGAATATTCTTACTATTTTGAATAGTATAGTGGTGTAATTGTAAAATATTTGACGAGTTCAGCAATTCCGTAGAATCAACATGCAAAACCAAACTTCAAGGTAGTTTTCAGTAAATTGAAAAAAATAAAAATGTTTGGGTGCGTATGAATACCCACCTTTTGCAATTGTCCCAATAATAATTATTTCAAACTAAATTATTCCCCCTTTTTGTGTTTCTCTTACCATTGGTTCTCTTGAGTTTCATCTCTAGCCTACCCCAACTTGCTTGGGACTAAAAGGCTATGTTGTTGTTGTTGTTGTAAATTATTCTATGTAATATGCGCTCTGCGTTGTTAGATCAATCCTGACTTAGCAAAAGGATATAAAGCCCGGGGAATGGCTAGGGCTATGTTGGGCTTATGGGAAGAGGCCGTTTCTGATTTGCATGTGGCTTCGAGATTGGATTTCGACGAGGAGACTGGCTCGATCCTCAAGAAAGTAATTTTCCTCACCACTTGAGATTTTATGGGCTAAAATTTTTGTCTTTTGGCTGGCTTTGCTTTGCATTATGAATATCAACATGCAAGTGTTTGAAAATTGAGACGCATTAGTAAATTAAATCGCAAGTACTCAGGTTGAACCTAATGCAAAGAAAATTGAAGAGCACCGCCGAAAGTACGAACTCCTGAGGAAAGAGAAGGAGCTGAAGAAAATCGAGCTCGAAAAGAAGAGGCAACAAGTTAAGACCGTTGTATTTTTATTATCGATAGGGTTCTCTTTGTTGTATAAAATCCTGATTCGTCATTGCCGAGTTGCTCCTTCTATATAATAGGATTTGACCTTTATTCTCTTTCGTCTAGTCTTATTCCTTGTTAGACATCATAAATTTGTTTAGTTCCAGTTTTACTTTTATGGTTCCAGATGAATAATTTACTTTTTTTTTTTTGAGCAGGATGCTGAAGCTGCTGCTGCCTTCAAAGATGGTATGTTTATTTAATTTTTCTAATTTAGCGAATAATAGATATGCAAGGAGTAAAATGAAAAACTTGCGATAAAGTATATGTCCATTATCAATCAATCCCTTCATAACTGCATAAGTTATTTTCTCACTTCAATACCTTCTCCGCACTTCATTCCTCAAGTATCAATCCTTCGGAGTTACAGATGCCCTTTATTTTAACTTTTTTTCTTATCATCTGAATATGAAAAGAGAAAAATATAAATAAATAAATAAGCAATGTTTCAGAGATACAAAAAGTTCAAGTATGTTTGTATTTATGCAATTCAGAGCATCTAAAGCCTGAGGACACTTTCGAATTTAAAGACAAAAGGATATCTTTGTGGCAATGTTAAAATCCATGGAGAAATTTTCACTTATCTCGTTTATTTAGTGGTCAATTTCCTTTATGTACCACATCCAAGACCGTGCTAGTTTAGCCCATATTTCTCTCATCTTCCTTACAGGGGAAGTAATCGAGCTTGATTCTCGCAAAGATTTAGAAGAAAAGCTGAACGCGGCAAAAAAGGCTTCACGGCTGGCAATCATCTATTTCACGGCCAAATGGTGCGGGCCATGCCGTTACGTTTCTCCAGAAATCACTAGCTTAGCTAAAAAATATCCGAAAGTTGTGTTTTTAAAAGTCGATATAGACAAGTCATCTGATGCAGCTATTGCATGGAATGTTAGCAGCATTCCCAGCTTCTTCTATGTTAAAAACGGTAAAGAGGTCGAAAAATTCGTGGGGGTCGATAAGAACACAGTCGAGATGAAGATTGTACAACATGCCGGCTAGTCCCGAACACCCCTTTTTCTTCTCTGGATCCATTGTGTGATTTATTTCTTGTTGTGGTGTTTAGGAAAAAGTCTAAGTAATGGAGATTTTTCATGTAATGAGAATATATATAGTGTTCATGTCCTAATTCTCTGGTGTCTGGAGATTAATCTTCAGAACAGTTGATTGAACAGTGATATAAACTTTGGGCCAACAATAGTGTTTGAAATTATTATGTCTGATTATTTTATTCTAGATGTGAGTTTAAATATCTATTAAATGAATGATGTGGCACGAGATGTGATTGAAATATCATGAGATCCGATTGAAATATCACGAGATCTTGGCACGTGGCAGGTGGGCTCGTCTCAATGTGTTCCCCGTGGTAGGTGAAATATTCCAAACAATTCTATTTAGATACATATTTTTCATTCCATTACAAAATGGGGAATTATTTCCGCTATTTTCTCCTAAATTTGATATGTAATAATAGAATTATCATTTTTGAAGAAATTGGGGATTGTACTTGGATCTAGGGCTGCAAACGAACCGAGCGGCTCGCGAGCGCTCGAGTCGATTTCGAGCATAGGTTTTGGAAGGTTGAGCAACTCGAGATATATAGTGAATTACCAAAATACTCCATATATATAAATATTACAATATTTTATATATGTATTTGATGGTAATTTACTTCAAAATTGAGTTGAACTCGAGTCGAACTCGAGCAATCTTTCAAGCATTTTGATTTCAATCAATCTCGAGCAGAGCTTGAGCGATTGTCTTCTTTTGTCGAGTCGATCTCGAGCTCAAGCAGGTGTAAAACAATCAATCTTGCTCGACAAGGCCAATGTTCGACTCGGATCGGCTCGTTTGCAACCCTACTTGGATCACCTGAAATGGATTTTATAGGTTGTGCATCTCATTTCCATGCACATATCAATACTTCATAGACAATAAACTTGCAATTGTGCCTATAAAGCATTGATATTGGAAGAATTGATCAAATTGAGAAAGAAAACTAAGAAAACCAGAAAAAAAAAAAAAATGTGTGAAAACTACTTGATACGATGTCGTACTCATAAGGCGGCAGTTTTGTTTTAAAAGTTGGTTGGTTTAGTTCAAGAATGGGCCCATGAAACTCTTCTCTCAACTTGTCTCTGGTTTATTCTACACATTCTTCATTTGTGGAGCATTTAAAAGAACATGCTGATTAAAGCTCGAATATTTCTCTTCATGTTTTGTCTCCGACTGAACACATAGTGTATGGCTTCGTCGATCAAGGTACTGTTGTAACCATTTTTGAACTTCATCATTTCTTCCTTTTGTGTTCAATTTATTCTAAATGCAGCAGAATCTCAATTGGATTGTGAATCTTATCGAATTATAATTATGATGCCTTGATTTTCCCATTTATGTTCGAATCTACACACATTTTGCTCTCGTCCGGGTTGGGTATTTCGGGGATTTTATGTGCATTTTTAAAGGTTTAGGTTTTTGTAGCATTGCTTTTAAGAGTCTTGAATGAGTCGACACTTTCCGCCGCTGCCTGTGGTTACGAGCATTCGTGCTAAAACCACGTTAAATTTCAGAGTGTGGTTTGTTTTCCCTTACCAGCATATAATTATTGCTTTTTAAACATTTTTTGTTGTTATATTTATCAATGAACACCGATTTATGCCCAAAACGACACAATCCGTCTGGATCAGAAGCCGGCGGATCTAAAAAACCCGAGATGAGTGGATATTATCCTATTTTGGTTGGTCCAATTTCTGATGAAATTGATGAGTCTGATGTTGAGCTGGACGATTCGGATGTGGTGGCGCCCGATAATGATCCTCCGGTAGAGGCGAGTATTTGAGAAAACCAAATTTGAATTCATATGGTTTTTTTCTTTAAACAGAAAATATTAAATATTTTTTTCCCCTTGCTTGTTAGATGGGTGATCCTAGTGTTTATGTGAATGTCGAAAATCAAGAATCTGCTCAAAGATTAAAATTAAGTGCCATGAAAGCTGTTCTTGTAGGTAGGGTCATTTTGGAAGCGTTTTAACTCGTTTTAAAATTATTTAGATCTGTTTGTGAAATCATATGCATTTACCAGGTGAGCTCGATAAAGCCATAGATCTTCTAACCGAAGCAATCAAATTGAATCCAAGTTCGGCTGTGTTATTCTCAAGCAGAGGTATTTATTTCTTTTAACATGTTTGAAATCTTATAACACGAAGATTTTAAGTATTCTACATTTTGACCCTCAATGGGAAAATAAAAAAAGTATAATAAAAAAAATATCTCTTTCTTCAGCTGCTGTCTTTGTTAAACTGAAAAAACCAAATGCTGCAATTCGAGATGCTGGAGCTGCGTTAAAGGTGCTGTCTTTGGGGCATTCTTGTTTTAAAATTGCAAAGCATTTAATCTATTCTGCAAGTTACAGTTTTGGTTATTGTTGTCCAATGGCACGATAGATTAATCCCGATTTAGCAAAAGGATACAAAGCACGCGGTATGGCAAGGGCACTGTTGGGCTTATGGGAAGAGGCAGATACTGATTTGGATATGGTTTTGAAGTTAGATTTTGACGAGGAGATTAGTGAGATGGCCGAAAAGGTACATTTGCATCGTGTTTAGGTGACATTATTTCATCATAAATTTTGTCTGTAAGGTCTTTGCTTGTAACAACAAATCGAGTTGTGCCTAATACATTTTCAGGTTAAATTAAATGCTGCAAAGATTGCTATGCATCGTGAGAAATATGAACGCATTAGGATGCAACAACGCAAGGTATATGGGAAGATTTTATAAAGTCATTATTCGTATCTAACTGCAAATCTACCATCCTTTTTTCACCTTATATGAATAATTAATAATTAATTGTTCCATTTTAATAAATTGTTGCAGAAAGGAGAAAACACTGATACACTCAAGAAGGGTACAAAAAATTCTGCTTTGTAAGTCTCGCTAAGCAACTATTACACTTTTAAATTAACGGAGAAATTGGTTTGCAGGAGAAGTGATTAGGATCCAAAATGCCGAAGATTTGGATGCTTACCTGGAAGTTGCTTTAGAATTATCTCGATTAGCAGTTGTTTACTTCACTGCAGTGTGGTGTGGGCCTTGTCGATACATTGGCCCAGCATGTGAAAGATTGGCTTCGAAATTTCGGAATGTTATGTTCTTGAAAGTTGATGTTAATGAGGCTAAGGGAGTGGCTGCAGAGTGGAATGTTGGAAGCATTCCGAGCTTTCATTTGTGGGAATGTGGTGCGACTGTTGATCAGGTCACTGATTGCAATATGTACTCGCTCGAAAGGAAAATCGCACAGTATAGCGCGTGATGAATAATATCAACTCGTGCGTAAAGCTTTCGACTTTTTTGTGGGGTTTTTAATAAGAACTGTTGTGACAGTTGTTTTTATGTGCGTTGCATTTCTATTTATTACATGTGATTTTTCAAGACAATGCTTAATCAATCAATCAACTTCTCTGAGATGTTTTCTTCAGT